GCCCTGAAAGCAAACAGTAACTCCCGGGGCATGAAGGCTAAGATAGTGCTCATCTACGTGAGATGGCTTCTTCTAAGGAATAATTTTCTGTTTATGAAATGAATCCCTGTCAACAATGAATACTGTCATTCTAGAAAATCTGAGAAATAGACAGAAGTCTGCCAAACAGAAAATAACCGCAAGTGATCTCATCACCTATGGGCTAACGCTTTCTTTCCTTATTTTTCTATGGTTATTTTGGAGGGAGGTGGTACAATTTAGATGATGTTGTGCAGATAACTTTAATTCTTCCCTCTTCACCCAATATAAGGCAACTGTTTCCTGTTGGTAGGAAGAACTTCTTGCAAGCATAATTTCTGATGCTTTCTTATAAATCCACAGCAGATGCATGGTACCCCCTTAACCATTCCCCTCTGCCTCCACCTCTTTCTTTCTGAGCCACTGTGATCTCTTCCCAGTTTTTTTAAGATCATTCCCTTAGGATGGCTTCCTAGATGTAAAATTCCTGGTTCAGCTTTATTGTTCTTATTATATACGGTCACATTGATTTCTAGAAACTTTATGGCAATTTATTCTTTTGTGTAGCAACCTAGAAGTGCTATCACCAGCGATGGGTACAGTAATAAAAAAAAAAAAGTGTTTGCTAATTTGAAAGTAACACTGGGATCTCATCGTTTGTACCTTTTCTTACTCCATGGCTATGCACACATCCAGCACATCAAAGCATCTCTCAGCATCTCTGAGCAGTGGTGGTCTTGACGCAGACAGCCTGGATTGGACTTTTAGCTCACCTGCTGTGTGACCCTGGGCAAGTGATTAAACCTCTCGGAGCCTCAGTCTCATTTGTAGTATGGAGATGACACGGATGCTATTTTATAGGGTTATTATGATGGCTGGACGGGTAGTGAAATGCCTGGCAGACACACCCTTGATGATTATAGATAAGGATATGAGCCTTTTGTTATATTTACTGTAACGCTGTTTGCTCTTTTGATGTTTATTGTTTAGCTGTATTATAAGCAAGTCTTGAGATATAAGATATTTTAGATTATACTAAAGTAAAGCAGGAGAAAAAACTCAGTCTTCCACATGGGGAGGTCTGTGGAAGAAAGCCAGTCCTGGTCTTGAGACAACGAGATAAGCACAGTGCCTGCTTCTAATTTTTTGTTAGAATGCTAAATTAAAAGGTTCAAAGAGCAACCACGATGAGGCCAGCTGGTCTTCATCTTGCCTGCCCATTGGAACCCCTGGCATCATCACTGAAGCACCCTAAAAACACCGACACTCCTGCCTTGTGATTCTGATTGTGTAGGTGTGGGCTGAGCCCAGGTCTCAGGGTCTCTGGGAGGTCTGCAGGTGACGCTGGTGCCCCGCCGAGTTTCACTGGGTGAGGCTGGGGGTTGCTCCAGTTTGTTGAGTCCCTGCAGGAATCCAAATGGCATCCCCACCTCCAATCTCTTGAATTACTCCACAGGAAACTGTCACCCGTGACATCTACGTCCTCCTGATGACTCCTCATAAGCGGCCCCTCCTGCCCCACCTCAAGGGGGCTGAGGAGGCTTCACCCAGATAATCTCAAAGAAACAGCAGACAGAGTACATTCGACACACTGCACTTGAGGCGGACTCTGCCTCTGGACCCTTCGATTTCAACTCTCCGGCAAGCCTCACCAGTATTCAATCGGGTTTCCTGTTGTAACCAAAAGAGACGTGGGCCTGAATCATTCCTGGCCAGATGGTGGCCCCAACCTCACATTTGACTCGCAAGCGAGGAAATGTGCCCTAACTCTGCCACCTGCTTCTCCCTCCGGACTTTCACTGCCACCACCCACTTCCCTGAGCATCACCTCCCCCCAGGTCCCAAAGGGACACTCGGCTCCCACTGTGCCCATTCCCACCGCCCTAAGAGCGCTCTGGGCAAGCTTCAGTGTCCCTGGCCATCCAGGGGGCTCTGCCCAGCAAACTGATCCGAAAACGGTAAACACGCGTGGTCTGTGGAGCCACCTGTTTGAACGTCCCCATGCATGGAGCACCCACCCCCTGTCCTCCACCTTGAGGGGACTTTTCACACTGCTGACACTAAGACCCATCCCCAGCTGGAAGACAGCCTTTTTCCACGGAGCTCTACTCAAAGTTTGGCTTGTTGGTGGGAGGGGAGGGGCATGGTCATCAAAGAAACAGTACCAACAGCTAAACGTAGGCTCCTTCTTCCCAAAAGTCAGGGCAGAGAGAGGAAATTTACAGAGTGGGCACCCCAGAAACACACGCACAAAGGAAACCCTTCTTGACAGGGGTCAACGCCGGCCAGATGACCGTGTGTGCATCCTGACAAAGTCCAAGAGGGGAAAATGACATTCGGGAGATGCTGAAGACTTTAGAGAGGTAGCATTTGCTTCAGAAGCTGCCCCTCGGTCCCAGAGTTCAGACTGCAGCAAGGGTCTTTATAGAGAAGATAAATATCGGACAGGCTTTGCGCTCCTTTCCAACAGCAGAGAGAAAGGAAGGCTCGTGTGTGGGAGGAAGGGATGTGGACAGACGTGGCGCGTCCGCCCGCGTCCGCCTGTGTCCGCCTGCACCTGCAGCCTGAAGCTAGGACCCTGCACTTGACCAAGAGCCCAGAAACCCCAGCCTCCAGCATGGCGTCCATTCAAGCCAAAGATCCACCAAAGCATGCGAATCTAAACAGTCTCTCCAAGGTTGAAGCTTTTCACCGAAAATAGTAGAAAAATTTTCTGTTGGAAAAAACATGCACCTCTAGGGCTATAAGTGATTTTACCATTCCAGGGGTGGGATCGGGCAGCGAGGAAAGCAGATCAATGGAGAGCCTTGGTCTTTCAAACCCAAGCACCTGAAGGAGAATTTCTGAGCCCCCATCAATGAAACCTTGGCATGAAACAGGAGGAGTGGGTTCCCGGTGTCCCCCCAGCCCGTGCCTTCTTTAGAGGAGGACCCCTGGGGAGCAGCCTGATAGGGCCTGGGGCTGTCTGGGGCCCATCCCTCCTCCAGGTCATAAAAAGACCAACAGAACCTTAAGGCAGCTCTGGGGCAGGATGCCTGGAATCCTGGAATTCAGAGGTCACCTGGAATATGAAAGCTGTTCCAAAATGGCAAACATGTTTGCATATCAGAGGTTAAAAGCAATGTCAGAGGAGGTGCTTTGAAAACAGAAGGGCACAAATTCTTCATGCTCCTGATTTCCATGGAGCCCTCCAGCTGACCCGGGCAGCCTGTCTTCTCCCCTGGCCCAGGCAAGTGCTGCGGACCCCTCTGCCAACCCAGCGCGACTCTGCTGTCTGGGAGAGGGGTGGGCCCAGCGCACGCTTCACGGCCACCCCACGCTTCTTTATTGACTAGTTTATCAAGGAAACAATCTGACGAGCCTCACTAACAGGGATGCTCCTGCATCTGCAGCCCTCATTTATTATTTAAAACCAAGAACCAGCAACAGCTTTGTCACCCTACTGGATTCTCTGTCTCTCTCATACACACACACACACACGGGAAGGGAACTTACATCACAACTGCATCCTACAGAAGATGATTCAACCCAGTCTCTCTGCATTTTCATGAGGTTACAAATCGAGTTAACCCGTGAAATCACCACGGGCTCCGGTCTCCACCATGCTGGATATGCATTCCACAGTTTAAATGAACAAGAACCTGAAGAAGCACAACTCTTCATCTGAGCCGGGCTCTGATTGGTCAGCAATCACTTAAATACATTTTTTCCCCCCAGCACATAAAGGGACATCAACACATTATGCCTGGAATAAAGTAAAGCACCTTCTCCATTTTACCTGGGTCTCTCTTCTAACAGCATCTTTCCTTCAGATTTCCATCCTTAGAAACATCCTCCTTAGAAACACCCAGGAGATCAGGAACAGAACTGCAGCTCAGAAAGCACTCTTGGAAGCTGAGGCATATAAGAGACGAATGGCCTCAAGCGGCCATCTCACCATGACCTGGATCTCCTCCTTTCCAGGATGAACAAGTGTCTGGCTGGCCCCACGGCGGAGGCCCGGAGCACCAGGCTGGAGATCATGCAACCATTCTTTCCACCTGCGGTGCCTTTCCAGAGCAGACGAGGCAGGGCTGAGGGTGAGCCCAGAGGAACGCTCTCCCAAGAGATGTGAACTCCCCGTGGGGGCCATCTGAGCTTACCGAGCGTCTTAGAATATTTTCAAGGCACAACATATTCTTCTCTTCTTGATATTTCCAAAGAGTAACACGTTCCTTTTGAAAGTAACACCTAAACCCACAAAAGGCAGGGGGCTCAGGCGTGCCAGCAGCTTGGCACCTCGCACACACAGCATGGCAATGCCAGGTGAGACCTGCAGCGGCTGAGAACCCAGGTCTGGTGGGATTTTCTTAAATGACGAGAGGGCTCCCTCCATTCACCTATTAGCAAAGGCTGGTTTTCACAGCATCTAAATCTACAAGCTTCCTCTTGGCACCATCAGCTCCAGCCACCCAACTTGCCCAGATTCCTTGGTCCTTCAAGGATCATCACCCATCTGACAGGCCAGTTACTTCGATTTGAAAATCAAGACTCTCAACCACCGACATTACAGACCTCACAGGAGCGAGACCCACGGCACCGAGCCTTCCACCTGCCCTCGGGACACGAGTGTGGGCCACGGCTTCTCTTGGGTCCATTCAAACAATCACAGCTAAGCCACCCACAGACCCGCACAGGTCCCTGACATCAGGGCAACCAGCTTCCTCTTACTTCTACCTTCTACTTCAAGATCAACAGCCAAGTTGCAGACACTGCCAGCCTCCAAAGAGATAAAAGCCAAGGCCTCAAAGACAATCCCAACACGCTGTCCGCAGGAAATGACATCCACCATAGGTGGAAACAACCGAGAAAGCCCCCAGCCAAGGCAGCCTCCACAGGGCCCCCAGCCTGGCTCACTGGCCACGCCGCCAAGACCACAGACCCAACCCCAAGAGAGCCGGCGCTCTCCCCAGGCAGAAGGAGATGAACACTGGTGTCCCTACCTCAATCAAGAAGTCCCCGGTCCTCAGTCCGGCTTGCCATGCCACCCCGCCTTCATCCACAGACTCCAGGTACTGCAGGGCCGGGAATGCCGGCGTGGGCGTGAATTCTTCGATGGGCGTATCCGCTGGGAAGACAAGGTGTACCTTGTTACAAGGCTGGGAAATGTTTGCAGGTTAGCCCAGGCCTCCCATGGGACCCTGGGAGGAAGCAGGCCCTGTGTCTCCATGGGAAGCGAGTGGCCCAGGCCAGCTCTCCCCTGGGAAGGGGCTGACACTCACAGTCATGGGCCGACACCAACTAAAGCAATGGACCCAACTGCTTTTTGGTGCCTCTCAGCCTCTGTGCCTAAAACACACAGGATACCGTGCTCCCCTGTCCATGTCTATATGTACATGCCTGTCATTTTCTTTAAAAGCATCAGTGACTAAACATTTTCAGTTCTAAAAATGGAAAAGTTCCCCCCATAACCACATGGAGCTACAGAAACACCACACTGAACCGCTTGCCAAATTTACATCTACGTAGACTCGCAACCAAGGGAATTCAACTTGGAGCGTGGACGGAGCAGAACGCTGACCCAGTGGGTGGCTGCAGATTTGGAATCTGCTTATGAGTCCTGTCTGCCGGGAGCCCGGCTCCCTGTGGCCACTCTGCGGCCAGCGTCCGCAGGAGGGCTGGGGCCCCGCTGCTCAGCAGAGCCAGCATTGGCTTCCGGGGGCCAGAGCTGCGGAGCCAAACTCTGGGGCAAGAGGTGGACGCTCCTGGGTGGTCCCGAGGGGCTGGGGGTGGGGGGGGGGAGGGGTAGGAAGCCGGCCTTGGCCGGGGGAGGGGAGACACCTCACAGTCATGGACTCTCAGGGGCAGAGCAATCTCCCCCTCCCCGTGGACGGGCCGCTGCCTGGGCAGCCGGAGCCTGGAGCAGGTGGGGCTGGCTCCGGAGCAGGACACCTCCCCCCACAGCACAGTGCGGGACCCCCCCCACCCCCAGCGCAGCCCTGAGGCTCCGAGATCAAACTTGCACATGGTTTCCCCACACGCGCGGGGCACAGATGTCTCCTCTCACCGGGAGGAGATGCCATTTTGTTTCATTTTGGCAGTGTTGGGGGGTGCCCTCCCGAGTTCAGAGCTGCAGGGGACCGCACTGCCGAGGACCAGGTTCCCGGAGCCCCCCACCGTGGGCCACGTGACGTGTGTGCCGCTGGCTGGGCCAGGGCGGAGGGGACCATCTTGCCACATTCCCTTTGCAAAGTCACCTTAGAGGCGGGCAGCCAGCCGCCTGCTGCACTCCGGGGCCGAAGCCCACTCCCAGAATGGGGCAGCTCAGAAATCCCTGAAGCAAACTCGGGACTGGGTAATTCTGGGCGACTGACACCAGGAGCTCCGAAGCCAGTCACAACCAGACTGAACCAAGCCACAAAACACAGATGAAACCCATGAATTAAAAAGAAGTGGGGGGAGGGAGAGAGAAGGAGGACAGCGAGAGAGAGGAGAAGGAGCTTGTTCAGAGCAATACTGTGTACAGAAAACTGGAAATATTCCTGAAGGAAGCCCCAGTGTTTAGAAAGGCAGGATGTGAAAGAACATGGTTGTCTAGCAACCGAGTACCCCCAGGAAAAGGGCTTCTTTCTGAGCTGGGGAACGTTTTTCACACAGGCGTGTACACACACAGACACACACACGCATGTGGAGGCACCCAGGCCGGGAGCCGCCGGCTCTTACCTTTCGCCCCTCGGAGCACGAATCCGAAGCCCTCATTGTCTTTCTTCTGCAGGACCACGGTCTTCTCCTCGATAACGCAGTCGCTGTAGAGAGAGTTCCGGGGACAGCGCCCATTATTGTAGCCCGTCAACATCACCGCGGCCGAGGCTCCGCCGGGGACGTTCATCATCGTAGCCAATTAATCACCCCAGCTCGCCCGACCCAGGCAGGCAGCGTGGAGACGGCGAGCCGGCGCAGGAGGAGCGGAGGCAGCTGGGGGCAGGCTAACGGGAGGGGCGGGCTCGGAGCGGGGGGCCGGGCGGAGCGGGCGCGAGCGGGAGGCAGGAGTCATGTGGAACCGCAGGCCGGCCGCGCAGAGGAACCGCAGGCCGGCGGAGGGGGCGGCCGGCGGGCGGGGAGGGGGTGCTTCCAGCGGAAGGGGGCAGGTCACTCCAGCCCAGCCTCTTTGGGGCGGGGGGAGGTGGGTTGGAAGGGGCTGCGGGCTCCCCCTGCAGCCACAGCAACCGCCGTTTGGCACAGCTTTTTCTTCTTTTTTTTCTTAAAGGAAAGAAACCCCAAAAGCTCCAACTTTGCTTAGGTGGCCAAAACCTCCTACCATCCACAGGACGGGCGCGTCGCCAGCTGATCGCCGCCCGCAGCACCCAGCACCAGGAGCAGGGGAACCCCCCGGAGCCCCCCACCTTCCGGGCTGCCTCCCTCCAGGAGTCCCCGCTGCCCCGGAAGTAAGTCAGGGGGAGGGGGAGAGTCGCTGGGGATGGGGGGGGGGGTGGCGCAGACTGGAGGCTATGTCCAGGGCCCTCAGGGGCTGGCTGGTGGGAGGGCAGGGTGAAGGGGAAGGGCCCTAGCCGGAGGGAGAGGCCCGGGATGCGGACTGAGAACGCGTGGACGGGGCTCCAGGTCCCAGGACTGAAGATCAGCTCTGCCCAGCGCTGAGTCTGCCACCTGCAGGAATCCCGTGGCCTCAGCTTTGCGGGAGCAGCCCCACAACCCGGGCCAGCAGTCAGGAGGAGGGACAGGGCTGCTGGGACCCAGCTCGGGGCAGTAGCCGAGAACACCACCCTGCAGGGACGGAGGAGCCAGGGAGCTCCTGAGAGGTGGGGGGCTACGGCCGGAGGACACACGGGTGTCCTGCCCCACTCCCGAGCCCTCGGCCCACACATCGGAGGCCGCACAAAAGAACTCGTGGGTGTGACCCTGTCCTCCAGGAAAGGGCCAGCGCGGTGGACACACACCTTGACGACGGGCAGACCACACCATCCTGGATGGTCGCAGTCCAGGGTGGTCTAGGAACTTGGGAGGAGGGGGTCAGTCCCTGGGCACTGGCTCTGCCTCCAGCCCCGGGGTCAGCCTGCTGGATACAGGAGCCCCAGGTCTGGGACTGAACGTGGCCTGGAGTCCAGGCCTGGAAGCCTGTGGGCAGGTCACGTGCTGGCCTGGCCTTAGTCGGAGACTGGGCTCTTTGAGCCTTAGGCCCCCTCACATCACAGCGTGCTGAGAACAAGCCGCAGGCCTCCCAGGACTCCTGTGAGGTCAGATTGGAGGATGCCCACAGCCTGCGGTGGGACCCGAGAGCCCCAGGGAGCTATCGCGTTAACCGCCATCCGCTTGGCGGGGAGCCAGCACCTGGGAACCGCAGGAGGGGGAGCAGAGCTGGGCACGCGGTGCTCCAAGGGGGCGGATCCCCCACTAGCCTCTTCACTTTCCATCCCCCGTCTTCCCCAACCAGAACACAAACACAACTGTCCCCTGACCACCCCTTCTCCCGCCTCTGAACTCCTCCGGCTGGAGGGCTCCCTGGCTCTTCGGGTACAAGCCCGCCACCCACTCTGGCCGCTTCCCCAGGCTGCCGCAGCCTCGCCTTCTGCCCCTGCACGCCCCGCTGCGGGAGCCCCTGGAAACTCCCATGACGATGCCCGCTCCGAGGGGCCGGAGCCCTGTGGTTCCCTGGGGACCCACGTGGCCCCTGATACCCGTCTCTGCCTGGCTCCAAGGCAAACCTGTCCTGCTCTCCATCATGAGGCCCTACCGTGGGCCAGCTCTTCTGCCCACTGCCCAGATGACACCCCCCCCCCCACGACAGCCTTTCAGCTGTCCCCCACGCTGGGGAAACTTGTTGGGGACAGTGTGGCTGTCTGGACGTGGTTGGCACCCTCCCTACTGGCCGCACAGGGTGGGGGTGTTCGGGCGTCATGGGTAAGGGTGTCACACAGAGCCCGGCTCAGATCCTGGCTCTGCTCTGACCCCAAGGGCACTCTGACCTTTGGAACCTCAGGGTCCTGCTTGGCAAAGTGGTAATAATAGCAAGGCACGCCTTGTGGACTTCAGGAGGAGTTAGCAAAGAACCCACCTGAGCCCGGGTAGGCAGCGCACGTTAACACCAACCATCCTAAGGGAGGGCCATCATGTGAATGTGCCCACTGCCTCCTCCTGTAAGGACCACCCCCCGCCCCCCCCCCCCGGCTGATGGCTCCCTCTTAAACCTCTCAGCAGTTCCTAACTCACCGAACAACTCCTGACTCACTTGAGGCTGCCCCGACCTGTGTGTCTGTCATCCTGCTCGCCGAGAAAACACCAGACTCCTTCATCCCTGATCTGAAGGACAGTCCAAACTCCTCTCTCCTACATTAGTTCAGGAACTGAATAGCCCCTGGCTCCCTGCCCATCATGATCCATCTCAGTTTCATTCACAGACAGACCTGGGTTTGAATCCCAACCCAGGCACGTACCAGCTTAGCTTCTCAGAGCCTCACTTTTCCCATCTGCAAAGTGGGAGCACTCATACCTTCCTTGCAGGGACTCTGCAGAGCAGGTGAGGGCAGTGCTCCCCTACAACAGGGAGAAGTGCTCTCATCAGCATTCCCACGTGTGTATCTCCCCAGGAGACCGTGACCGCATCCTGGGGGTTACCCAGCTTGGCGCCGCATGGAATGGAGCAAAGAGGGCAAGGAACACAGCGTGGAGAACAGGGGTGACAGCGTCAGGGGCTGAGGAAGACCGCAGGGTTTCGAGTGAAGAGGCCTCCGGGTCAGTTCCTGTCATCCGCAGAGGGCAGGGCAGCTCAGAATTGTGGAGTGCCTACTGTATGCACCTAGCTAGGCCTAGGAAGTGGAAAGGCAGGCTCAGGCTGATGGAAACCCGCAATCTCGGTAGCAATTAGTGAAAAGCAATAGAAACGCCAATGCAAGAGTCATTCCCTTAAAACAAGAGCGCATTCCGATGTTGTCTGAATGGCACAATCCCTGGGCACGGGCTCCAACCGGGAAATCCCACACCCCGGGTCTCAAGAAGGAGCCTTCCCCAAATGCGAGTCTCTCTCCTTCCAAATCCTCCTAACAAGGGGCCCCCGCACAGTCTGTACATGGGGGTCCCCTCCAGCCTCGCCCAAGCCCCTGGGGGGACCTTTTCACCTGCGAAGCTGTCACCTGTGGGCCCCCAGGGCCAAACCTCGCTCCCATCCTCCCTGAATCTCCCTGCAGGGCACAACATCTACTCTTGGTGAGATGCTGTGTGATGGAAAAACGCTGTAATCCAGCTGTGCTCTCTTCAGACGTGTCTTCTGAACAGGGCAGGAGAGCAGTTTAACACACCCCAAGAGTACCCTCCTTTGGAAGCTTCCTGCAGTGGGAGCCGTGGAAGGTAAAGGAGGTGGGCATTCAGCCCTGCCAAGTACAGTTGTGCAGGCTGCGCACAGAACAACTACAGAGGATACCATTTGCTCATGGCCGTCATAGAACCATGTTTCTGGTGGTGATTTCAGCTCTCAGCTGCAAGTAAAGGGCCTTGAGAAAGGGGCAGGCGCCTTTTTCAAGTTCATGCAGGTACAGGCCATAGAAGCACAGAGTTCACGCAGTACTCGTAGACACATGTCTACCTTGGGGGGTGGGCTGCTGGGGAGGCAGGAGGTAGCCTCACATAACCACGTCCACACTTGGAGACACGACCTGTGCTGTGAGTCTCCTGGGAGCCACGCGGTAGAGGCTGTGCCAGCTTCTCATGTTTCCACCCCCGACAGTCCAGCACGTGGCAGGAAGGAGTGCCGAATACACCGGAGTGAGGCAGGTGTACGGTCGGCCACACAGAGGGTCTCAGGGTCCCCACCCCACTGGCAGGCCTGAAGACTCCCCTAGCGTCTGCCTTGCAAGACTGCAGGTGGCCGGGTCTCAAGTGGCCTTAACTGTGGCCCCACGATGGGTAGGCTGCGCTTCACTTGGGTCCAGATGGCAGAGATGCCAGCGATGACAGCTGGCATTTAGGATTTGTCAGTCACTGAACAAGCTCCCTTGGCAGTGGCGTCTGGTCCTGGAGGAGGTGTAAACCTGGAGCCACGGGAAGCCAGGCCCTGGCGGCCGAGATGTGTGAGCAGGTGGGCCCTGGGGTGGCTCTGTCTGCCCTATCCCACGTGGGAGGGCTCATTGTGGGCATTTGAACTTTAAACACAAGGACCGCTGGGGTAGACCAGATGGCCTCACCCGGACTCTCAGGATGCTGGCTGGGAAGTGACCCTGACAAATCAAATAGCTTTGTTTTGTCCCTGCTCCACTGGGATTGGGTTTTGGTCTTGAATTAAAGTTCAGAAACAATTGGGGCCAAGGGTAAGCTACCATGTTAATTCATAAATCCATGCAGTCATTCTTTATGGTGGTTCAGATGGTAATGGATCTACCTGCAATGCAGGAGACCCGGGTTTGATCCCTGGGTCAGGAAGATCCCCTGTAGAAGGGAATGACAACCCATTCCAGTATTCTTGCCTGGAGAATTTAACAGACAGAGGAACTGGTGGACTACAGTCCATGGAGTCATAGAGAATCAGACATGATTGAGTGACTGACACCTTCATTTCTTACTGAATACCTACTAAGGGTCAGGCAACAGACTGGGTATTTGGCATTTTTGGAGGCAACAAGCCAGACCTAGTCTAACCCTTGTAGATATGTCAAGGGTAGTGGGTTGGTTGAATGGTAGACCCCCAAATCATGTTCAAGTCCAATTCCCCCTATCTGTGAATGTGACTTTATTTGGGAATGAGGTCTTTACAGATGTAATTAGTTAAGGATCTCAAGATGAGATCATTTAGTGAGGGCCC